ATGTGGAAAGTCCTGATGGACTAGGTCATGACATTCACAGCCACAGCAATGCAAGCATGCCTGGTACTGGATCTAGCATGACGCCCCACACCAGCGTGGTGGAAAAACCAGACACGTTGGCAGAAAGTAGCCTACCTCTAGAGTGCATGTTTTGCGAGGAGACTTTCCTGCGTCAGGAAGACCTGGGACCACACCTTCTTTCCCAGCATCCCACAACATTCCACGCTCCCGCAGTGTTGTGTGTGGAAGCGGAATTCTTAACTCCCAGCGAAAGGGCTCGTTCTAAAACCTGCCCAGCTGTGGAAAAGAATGAGGAGCTCTGTTGCGTTGTGTGCGTCCAGGCCGTTGCAGATGCAACCGAGCTGGAAACGCACATGCGGAAACACAAGGAGTCTTTCACGTACTGCTGTGGCCTCTGTGGACGTCGTTTCAAAGAGCCGTGGTTCCTAAAAAACCACATGAGAACCCATGGCGGAAAGGCTAAACACAAAAACCAGGACCTGGAGAGCCCAGCCACTGTTAATGAGGTCATTCAAGACCAGCCCCCATCACCTGTGCTCAAGTCGTACAAAATGTGCATGGTATGTGGCTTCTTTTTCCTGAACAAGGAAGTTCTGGCTGAGCACAGCAAGGTCCACAATCGTGAACTGGAAGTGGATGAGAACGTCTCCTCCGACAGCCACCCTGCTGAGGAGGTTCCTGTCTCTCAGAAGGCATTTTTGCAGACCCTACAATTGCATCCTTCGGGTGCGAGAGAAGAAGCTGAAAGAAATCACCCATCTGGACGCTGGATATCCCAACTTGATCCTTTCAACACCTACCAGGCCTGGCAGTTGGCCACCAGAGGCAAGATCGCAGCAGGTCCGAACTTGGCCAAGGAGCTCAATGCAGACTCCAACTCTGACAACGAGGACTCTGGTTCTGAAAAAGAGGAACTGGGGGCCATTTGGGCTTCTGGCGGTGGAGATAAACCTAGGCGAGGCCTACGAAGTGAACTCAAGCCTAGCGAGACTCCTTCCCCATCACCTGAGCAAAAGAGTCTGATTCGTAAGGACAAGCCAACAAACTGCGAAGAGTGCGGCAAGATCTTCAGGACGTACCATCAGTTGGTCCTCCATTCTCGAATCCACAAGAAGGAACGAGGGGGAGCAGAGAGTCCCACCATGCCTGTAGATGGGAGGGCCCAAAGCGTAGGCTCTTGTAGTAGTTCATCTCTTGACAGAGCAGAGGAGTACTCAGAGGATGGCTCAGAAGAGGGAGCGCCAGTTGACGCCTTTAATCCAGGTATTATTACCCAAGTACTTGGAATTGTTTTCGCTTTTATATTCGTTTTAATTGCTCTGTAAAAATAACTTATTGTCATCTGTCAGAAGTTGATCCACGGGGCACTCAAGATTGTCATCTTTTCTAAGTATATACTCCATAATTACCCAGAAATGTGCACTCTTTGCTTCAGAAGAAGCTACTTCTGTCTCAAGGGTTCAATTGTACCTTTGTATGCCGGTGCAGAACTTAGGGCTCCCTCTGCTGGTCAGAGAAAACTCTTGCATATTTGACTTATGGACATTCTGTAGTGCAGCTTGCAGTTTAAAATTTCTATTCTAGAATACCATGTATAATTTAAGGCTTAAACTAAACACGTCACTTTTCCTACAGAAAATATTGAGGAAGGATTGGGAAAAATGAAGCTGAAAATTCTTGCTCCAAGAAAATGCAGTTACTGTGGCAAGACTTTCCGCTCGAACTATTACCTCAATATTCATCTCAGGACACATACTGGTTAGTTCTTTGTTGTATTGTGTTTTTACATTGTGTTGGGTCTAATTTTGCCTTGCTTTACAGGTGCCTCTCAATAAATTAGAATGTCGTGGAAAAGTTCATTTATTTCAGTAATTCAACTCAAATTGTGTTGAGATAGTGAATTGGTGGGTTTTTGTTAAATGTGAGCCAAAATCATCACAATTAAAAGAACCCAAAGACTTAAACTACTTCAGTCTGTGTGCATTGAATTTATTTAATACACGAGTTTCACAATTTGAGTTGAATTACTGAAATAAATGAACTTTTCCACGACATTCTAATTTATTGAGATGCACCTGTATGTCTGCAGTGGCTTGTATTCCAGGATGAAAGTAGTTTGCCTATTTTCTTTGTCTTAGTTAAACATTGACATCTCATTTTACAGGTGAAAAACCTTATAAATGTGAATACTGTGACTATGCCGCAGCACAGAAAACGTCTTTGAGGTACCATCTAGACAGACGTCACAAGGACAAACCTTTCACAGAAATCCCGAACATTCCTGCAACATCGTCTGCAAGAAGTATCATCAAGGCCATTGAACCTCCCAAGAATGTAAATGAGAAACAAGCCTTAAAACCAGCCAAACAATGGCTTGCTCCTAAACCTCTGCCTGCCAGTGTTAAACATGAACCTGGCATGAGCAAAGCCGTTATTAACAGCACAAGTCCTTCCATTCAAGTCAAGAAAGAGTATGTTAGTTCTCCCGGCGCAGCTCCTTACACCCCTGTGGGTGAGGTCAACAAAAAATACCCGTTACCGGTAAACCCGAAGATGGAGGAGAAGGAGGCTACCGAAGCACCTTTGAATTTGTCCCTCAAAGTGCCACTTCCTGTATCTGCTACCTCAGTACCCAGAAACCTGTTACCGACCAACACGTGTACCTCTTGCTCCTATGAAACCCTTTACCCTGAGGTTCTCTTGATGCATAAAAAGCTCATCCACAAGGAGAAGTTGGATGTCAAGAAGAATGGATACAGGGGACCTCAGAAACAGAAACGGTACACTGGTTGCCCACCGGCTCTTGAAGGCAAAGATGTCACTCCTTTGCCCCACATCAACAGGAAGCATCCCCGTCGGACCAAATCCCCATTGCGCCAGCCAGAAAAACTTGGGGAGAAGCTTCCGAAACAACCTCAAATGTCTAAGATTTCGCCTGCGAAAGATCACTGGAGGGATCAGCACCAGGAGGGCCAAAGGGGCAGGGAATCGGATGCAACCAGCTCGCTTTCTAGAAACTCAGAGCAAGAATCTAGCAGAAAATTAAAAGTGCCTTTGGTAATTGATCGAGAGTTCTTCAAGCAGAGGCCTGGCCTGGATCAGGAGATGAATCGGAGGGCAAGCATGGGCAAAAACGGAATGGTTTGGCCCACAGATCCAGCTAGACTTTGCCTTTCGGACCGTTTCCGAAACATGACGCAAACGGACATCGGCGAACCCTCTAGCAAGAGACACAAGTCCTTTGAGCCTCTATATACTGCATCTGGACGGCTTGGAGAGGATTTCAACCGAATCGTGCCCTCCGGCAGAAATGCGAAAACCTCGTTGCAGGCAAACTCGCCCTTGGGTTCGGTTAAGGTGACTCCCACTGCGTCTCCCAACAGCATGCAGGCTGACTGGAATGTCATCAACCTGCTCCGCACCTACACGCCCAACAACCTGGCCTCACTCTATCACCCCACCACTGCAGGTTCCAGCCATGCTGTCATGGCCTCACCGGTCACTGGTGAGTATTTACAACACGATTGTCAGCAATTGCTCACTGGCTAAAAGAAATAGCTTTTACCTTAAAATTAAGCATAAAGAATTTTCATACAGTATTTGCTTTTACTTACTGGTCTTATTTAACATTTGCATTAGTTTTCAAAGTATAATACTGTACTGGGGAATTGGCATATAGGCAACATTTAAAAAAATTCACAAATACACTATAATTAAAAAATATTTTCCCTCTCTTATATATGTATCTTTACGTTTAGGGTATAGTGTTAAAATAACATTTCAAGCATTTTTCCTTTAAGAAAATGCAGGCAGTAGCTTTGAAGAATTATTTGAAGTTTTAAGACTTCACCATGGCCTAAATGGTCTTGGCAGTTGTTTAGTGAGGAGGTGGCCTGGGATCATGACTGAACACTACCCCGTATGCTCCTCTCTTTAGGGAGCAGGTCCTTGATCTTCCCTCATTACTCAACTAGTATGACTCAGAGGAGAATCCAAACCAGCCCTCTGAGTAATGAACGCTGTGGACCTTCAGATAAGAGCTCTTAGACCTATCCAGGGTAAATGTCTTCACCAGACCTCGCTCTCATGTATAGCATTGTAGTTTTTGTAGCTAATCGCACTGTTTCTCCTCCACAGCTTCGAAATACATAGATAAAATGCTGATGGCGACGGTGGGGTCCTTGGCCGGGAGAAAAGTTTAAGTGATTTGATGTTGCTCACTGTTCTTCAGACACTACCGCTGAAGGGATTGACATGTTGGAAGGATGTACTGTGTGGATACGGGCCTGAGCTCTGCTCTATCCTTGGCTGCAAGGCAGAACGAACTTGGACTGCAGCCTTGAATAGTGTTGTTTTGATTCAATTTGTATTCCATTATGGCAATAGATTCATCTGCGGTGCACTTAACACAAAGCTGAACGTCAGACGCACTCCGTGCATGACAGTTGACTTGTGAATCTGTTGTGGGTCGGTGGTTTATGATGATGGCCTCAATACTAATAATCAAACCACAAGCCCAGCAAGTGCCTCCATTTACTTTTTATTAAAAGCCTAAATACACGAGTGGATGGCACTGACCAAATAAACAAAGAGGGGCGCTGTGTTTTGCTTTTCTCTAATCGTGTCTGTATTGTTAATGTTTAACATCTCTTTTGCAGGTCAACTTTATGCTATGCACAGAACGGGAAGTCGATAGTTTCCGAAGTTAGAAACTTTCTCATTTGTACAAAATCTAGCTGCTGTGTTACCGTCTCTGATGCAAGACTTCTGAAGCAATGGTGACGTACTGT